ACATTTAGGGAACAGTTACATTAATGAGTTATTCTGAATATAAATTTAACTTGGTGTCCTGTAGTATATGTGCATGTATGCACGTGGATTGACAAGTGTGTAGCTACACATGTTGATGTGTCTATGCATATTTGTGCCCGTGGATGTGGAGGCCAGAGGTCAATGTCAGGTACCCTCCTTACCAGTTAGTTTATCTTACTTTCTGTGGAGCTTACTAGCTGGCTGTCCTGCATGGTCAGCAAAGCGCAGGATTCTCCTGTCTTTACTTCCCCAGTACTGGATTACAGGCACACCACACCACTACTGTGCCTGACTCTGTATGTGAGCAATGGGAAGCCAGATTCAGGTCCTCATGCTTGCATAGCAAGCACTTTATCCACTGAGTCATTTCTCCAGACTCTGTGCCCTGAGAACCTTAAGAAGAAATTCCCCCAGTTAGGGGGCACACTTATTCCTCTACATAGTAATAGCCCCTATCCTCCCCTGTACAACACAAAGTGTGTGTGTGTGTGTGTGTGTATTATGTCCAAATTACTTTTAGTCCAAATTCATATGCTTTGAAGCAGACTCAAAGCAGTCCATCTTCTGTTTTCCCTTTGGCTTTACAGAAGTAATTAATAAAAGCCTCCCTTGTTTTATTGCCTAGAGGAGTCTTTGTCTTGTTTTGAGTTAGTTCAAGGTCTCCATCCATAGCCAGAGTAACTAAAGGTTTGTCTTGGTACTGTCCTAATCAACAAGGGCTATTCTCCACTCAACAGTTCACACACAGCAGTTGCTTTTCAGAACCAAACAAAGAAGGAGCTTGTAACACCCAGCACACAACAGTCAGGTTCACTAGGACATGAGGACTTGCCTGGGTTATAGATGAAAATAAGTGTCGGAGACAGGATTCAAACACCAGTGTGACTCCAGAACCCACAGTGGGATGTGTGTACTGAAAATCCTATCCACAAACACTGCCTTGAAATTTTCCTGTTAGACATTGAGGAATCTTCCAGTACCAGGCCTGTCACCATCTTTGTAGGATGGTCCTTCTTGTAAGAAAACAAGCAGATCTGCTAGATATTTTTATTGAATGGCCCCTCGGCCTTCAGTAAGAGAGCAACAGTAGATTGAGGATAGTCCCAAGTGTGTGTGCATCATGGAGCTTGTACTGTGGAGGCAAGCCTGAAGAAATAGAAGCAGGAGATGTGTTCAAGGGCAGCCCAGGACCAGTAACCTGGAAACTCTGGAGGGAAGAGTATATCACTATCCTCCATTGTCTGCTGACCCCTGTAAGCTCAAGCAGGAAAAGACAGGCACAACCAGTGAGCAAATGATGCTCTGGTTCTTCATAGCCACCTTGGCTGTCAAGAGGGCTTTAGGAGTACTGGGCTCTCGAGTGATGGGTGATCCTTGCTTAGCTAGCAGCCTCTGGACAGAGATGGCCCCCACAAGGCGGCAATAATTTGGTCAGGCAGTGTCAGCACAGGGCCTCGAAGGGTCACCCCAGAGAACCATAACATGAGAGGACTAAGACAAAAGGCAAGTTTTGTGGAGAAGCCAAAGCCATATGAGGTGTGCTGCCAAGACTTCAGGAAAATCAATAGCCCACAAGACAGCTGGGAGCAGAGGCCAAAACAAACTCACTATTTCTACAAAATATCCTTAGCTCCCAGCTAAATTTCCCTGAAGTAACTAGGGTTCATTGAAAACCATGGCAAATCCATTCGTTTTACATAGTTTTAAGTTCAAAAACAGTCTTCTATCTCAATCCTAACAAGATAATGAAAAAGAAAATATAAAGAATAATTGGTGTGACGTATCTTAAAACATACATCTAAGAATGTCTTTCAACATATAAATCTGGGCTTAAATAGATAAGTAAGTTTTTAATTTGTCATTAAAATTATTAATTCCAACCAGGTCTAGTTCTGGGTTTTGCCAAAGGTAATATACACTTTAACTCAGTTAGCATACCGTGGTACTTTATAGGGGTCGGTTATTTAAAATATGATTGCACATATCTATTCTTTCTTGTGTTACTCTGAGAATTATGAAAAGGACTACTAACAGGAATTTTCCCCCATAGCATTCGTCCCAGGCCTTACAGGTTACCAAGAGGCTACATGACCACTTTTTCTATTGGATGCATATATACTCTATGGAGTTATGTAGAGCAATCTGAATCAGTAATACTGGTTAACTGCTTATTGGCTCTCTGTTGAATCAGGCACAATATAAGTGATGGTTTGCTGGAACAGCTAACGTTTGTGGAAGAGTTCTTACAGCTCAGATACTATGCTAAGCTCCCTTCTTTGAACTACTTAATCCCAGAAGTCTTCAGAGATAGGACATAAATACAGGCCCCACCCATCAATATCCTGTCTATTGAGGTAAAGAACCCCTTCAAGATGGATTCTTTTCCTGGGGAAAAGCTAACCTAGCTCAATGAATAGCTCTATGTCACCTCATTCCTAGAGCTGGGCATTCTGAAGCCAAACTGTAGGTATGAGTCATGAGTTGCAAGCCAAGTTGTGAGGTTTGCAGAAGAGACTGGAATGGGCATCTGAGTCATATACAGAATGTTAACCCCAAAACCTCAGACATGCTATGCAAGAGATCTGCCATGGAGATGCCTTTTCTTTTCTGTATTTTTATGATGCCTTAATATCTTGTGAACCTAGGAGGGATTGAGGGACCGCAGATAGTTTGCTGAGAGAATACACTTGATATGCAAACTAGTCAGCCCTCCTTTCTTCATCTCAGGTAGTCCAAAACACTGCTCCTGTCCTAATCATCCTAGGGCCAGATAGCCAAGAAGCCATGGCAGGCCCTATGCCCCAGAGCCCGCTGTGGAAGCCAGGCAACCCTGAATCTCTCACCCTGCTTAACCTGGTGCATCTATCTATTCTTTCCTGTGAAGACCGTAATAAAAGGTCTAGGATGTGACTTCCTTCCTGACAGTTGCTCCTGTTTTGTGTGCCTTACTATGTCTGATCAAAACAAAGCCCAGACTCATTTTAAAATACAGGCAAAATAAAATGCCCAAATGAGAGGGGCTGGAGACTGAAGACAAAGGATGCTCCTCCCATGGGGTGGTTCCCTTGGCTTTACATGTACAAGTGAAATTTCTAGAACATATGGTAAGTTTCTGTTCAACTGTCAAAACTGTACCTTAAAGGAACTGCAGCATTTTACTCCCCCACAGGAAGTATGATAAAGCCCGCACCTTCCACACCTTGAACACTCATCTTTTTTATTGTATCTAGCCTAGAAGGTGTGAGGCTGCATCTCATTGTGGTTTGGATTTATATCTGATTTCTATTTAGATCGATTGCATTAGTAATGACTAATGACATCTCAGAGTCTGCCAGGTGCTTCTTCTCCATCTGATGCACTCTTCAGATAAAAATTTATTCTATTTAGATCCTCTAGCCACTTGCTTATTTGGAGGCAGAATCTCATATATCCCAGGCTGCGTACCTGAGGATGACCTCGAACTCCTGATAGCAAGTGTTAGAGTTACAGTGCACACCACCATGCCCAGTTCAGTGCAGTGCAGGGAAAGGACTCAGACTTTCACACCTGCTAGGCAAGCATACTACCAAGTCTCATCCCCAAGCTCCCTTACCCTAATCTTTGATCAGGTTGTCATTTTGTTGATGAGCTATAAAGATTAGTTGTATTTCTTGATTACAATTCCCCTCAAATAAAGTTTTAATTTCCTATTTTTCTCCTGTTAATTGTGATTTCTTCATCTCAGGTAGTCCAAAACGCTGCTCCTGTCCTAATCATCCTATGAAGCCACTATCAAATCCAATGTCACAGAGACTTACTCTTACACTTCCTACAATTCTGGGTCCTGCCAATGTCCACATAACTTTAAGATTAGTTTGTCAATCTCTAAACATAAGATAATGGGATTAAGACAGCTTTTTAAATCTTTTCTAACTTAATTACATTATGATCAGTGACCATTACTTCTACAAAATTAACTTTTAAAGTATTTCCCTAGAATCAATAAGTAAGAAATTGTATTTTAGCTTTTTATTATTTTTAAACTCTGTGTGTGAGTGTGTGTGTGTGTGTGTGTGTGTGTGTGTGTTTGCAGGATAATGTGCATATGAGTGAAGATGCCCACAGGGTCAGAAGAGGAAATTAGAGTCCCCCAGCCCCGTCTGCCCCAAGTTGAAGTGACAGTGGCAATGAGGCAACAGATATGGGTACTGGGAACTGAACTCAGATCCTTCTTAAAAACAGTATGTGCTCTTCAGGGCTAAGCAATCTCTCCAGCCTGAATTTCTTCGCTTTTAAATAAGATCCAGAATGATTCAATATAACTCTGTGCTCTGGAAAGTTTGAATGTTGCATCTCTTTATGCACTGAATCTCCTAGTACACAGCATGGTGCCTTGGATACAGCTCCTCAGATATTAATGGAATGAGTAATGGGGTGGATTAATGAATGAATGAATGAATGGATGGATGGATGCATGGATGGATGATGAATGCATATAAATGGATATATAATGGAATAAATTTAAATGTATGAATGAACCTGTTTATACATTTGGATACATGAAGAGACAAAGGAAAAGAACACTTGGTGTCATGTTGGAGGAAGATCTGCTTTTACTGAAAACACTGGAAGCAGACACAGCAGACAGGATGCAGGTGTAGGAAATGATCTCCTGAATGGGACTCTATTAGACAAATGGGACCTCACAAAACTGAAAGGCTTCTGCACAGCTGAAGAAACAGTCAAGTGAAGAAGAAGCTCACAGAATGATTGTTGGCCAGCTATACATCTGACAGAGGGTTCATATCCAGAATATGTAAGGAACTTTAAAAAAAGAATCAAAAACCCTGCAGCAACCCATTAAAAAGTCTGTCTTCATAAAGATTTCTCATCACACTGTACAGAAAAAGAATAGCTACTGTAGAAGATGCAATGGGTTCTTCGCCTAAAGGTTTATGAACCCCTGAAGTACAAAAGTGGGCTCCATCTTTGCTGCTTACCTCCTCAGAACCTTTTCCAGTGCGAATGTGTTCATGCAGTGCTTTCCAGGCTTCTTTGGGGTTCCCACATGGGGTGCTTTGCTCTCTACACATCGGTGCTTGTGAAGGGATCAGCACCGAGAGACTTGAAGAGAAGTGTTCTCATACCCGAGTACAAACAAAGGTTTCTAGGTTCAGATCCCCTTGGAAGCAAACTCTGAAGGGCTACAAGAAGAACCAAGTAAGTGTTTGGGTAGAAAAAGGATACCAGAATGGAGGTTTGGGGGTGGGGTAGGGCAGGCAAAATAGAAGATGAGTTACCTAAGCAGCTATGATAGAGCGGACAACCAAAACTGTCTTTCTGGGACATATCTGGCCATTCTAGACCTCAAAGATAATAGGCCCAAAGACTGAGGGAGCTTAGTGTTTGTCCCATGATTTCCACCAGTCATTGTGAGGCATGTACTCTGAAGATGTTAGTCCCCTCACACTTCTATCGTGTGTGCTAGTGATGTCCAGTGCCATGAAGGCATGACAGTGAAGTCCACCAGTCATTGTGAGGATTGTACCCAGGTGTTAGGGCCCTCACACTTCTAGCTTGTCCAGTATCTAACAAAGAGGACTCCAGTGCCCAGAGATGTCCCCCAAGTGAAGGCATGACAGTGATATCAGCTGAATGGATGGTTAGTGGGAAATGAGTGGGGTGTCTCCAACAGAACATTAGCAGGTCCTGAGATCTGACATTCCCCAGATAACATTTTCCAGAACCAAGAAAAAAGAAGTGTTCATTGATCCATATATTGAATACATATGCACTGTCTGGTTTGAGATTTAAATGTGGGATTATTGTAAAATCTCATGATAATGAACAAGCGTGATAATGAAATGGTAGAGTGATGGGCAGGAGGGAGGAGCCATTGACAGGCTTGATAAGTGCACTGCTTTGAAACAGTTCCAGGTCTACAAAGGATTACTCTTCACATTATTGCTGGTTTTTATATAATTTTTATAATATAATTGCATAGCTCCCTCCCTCCAAAGCCTCTCATATACCACTCTTTTTCAAAATCATGCCTCTTTTATCATTGATTGTTGTTACATATATATCTATGTTGCATACATAGAAAATATACATTCCTAAATACTACCTTGCCCTTGCTATTTTAGGGAGTAGATCATCTTACAAAATTGGACTCAGGATCAACTCCAATCCCATAATGCAATGTCCCATCCACATGCTTTAACAGATGAGTTTGCCTATTTGCCTGGTGCTGCCACTATTCTACTGTTGTCTGCAGAGCGATGAGAATGATCAAACATCACAAAGAGAAGTTACGGACTGTATAAGACACAGAAGAATTGCAGAGATGAAGTGGGGTGCCTGAAAGGATGCTCCAAATAGAACTTATCCAGCTGACACCTCTTCCACAGAACTGTAGGAAGACGGACATAGAATTCCAGATTTATGCTGATTCTCAACCAGCCATGTTACCACAAGTCAGGCAAACGCTTTGAGCTTCAAGATTCCCAAGTATAAAACAGGGTTAAAATAGCTTCCTTCAGGGCTTGTTGTAAGTACTAAATGAGATGCAGATAAATGATGGTTTCTTTTTGTATTGAAGACTTGATCCCCAACAACTGAGAAGTGTTCGGATCCCAAGTCTAATCAATGGATCACTCCTCTGATAGACTCAAACAGAGCTGACACTATTGGGAGGTGGAAGCTAATTGGATACAGCAGATCACAGGAAACATGAGGTGGGTATGTCCCAGAAAGATGTATCTTATCCAAGTCCTTTCCTTTTCGTCTCCCTGCCTAGTCCCTTGTCCACCTCAAAATGAGCAGTCTTGTTCCATTAGACCCTTCCACCATAAAGTTCCAATCAACTCTGTTTCCATGAGGGGAAATGTTAAACCTGCCCTGAAACTCTGACCTTTTATTACGTTTGTAAAAGGGAACTGTATGTTTCAAAACAAATCCCTTTGATTTCAGAGTGCATCATGTCCTCAATCACCAGTAGTAAAATCTAGTTCAAAGGAAGGAACACTTGGTTGCTTTTATTTTTTTCAGAATTTGAAGGATGAAGCACTTAATTATGCATCCTGTAATTAGTTTATAATTCTCACAAAAGGCACACAGGGTGTGTTAATGGTGGCTGCATGCCATGCAGAGAAGCTGCGGCATATTTCATATTCAAGGCCCATCCCAGGGAAGAGGTCCATGGAACATTTTCGGATCACCTTTAGCTTTTGCATCTACAAGAAACCCTAAAGGTAGCTCCCATCAGTACAGTGAAGGAGGAAGGCAAAAGTCTTTACAGACTAAGGCACTCACCCAGGGAACTGACTGCTTAATTTTACTTAGTTTTGTGGAACTGTTGGTCATTCCCCAAGAAGGAGATGAAGGAGTTGTGCTGGGATGACATTTTTGTGTTGGACAGTCCCAGAAGCCATGGAGCTTGATTGCCTCTTTTGAATTCTTCCTTCTGCCAGTGTTCTACATTCCTCACAGAAATGGTCCCCTTGGGTAGCAAGCAATTACCGAAAGCTTTTCAAATATGAAGGCCCACAGAGTATATTCAAGGTAATCAGGACGAAGATGCCTGCTCTCCAAGCTCAAGACCAAACAGTGGAGCAGTAATCACTGTACTGCCTCCAGTTCACTCAGTGGGTGCCTGAACAGACATAGCCTCTTGGGGAAGAGCTGATTTTCTGCACAAACTAGAAAGTGACTTAGATTCCAATTTGTTGCGTCTGCCTGCTTCTGGAAGAGAAAGAACAAATGCATAGGCTGTTTGCAGAAAGTGGCCTCGAGTATTTCCCCCATGAGTCCATACCTGTTTGCAGTACGATTCTGCAGGTCTTCCCATTAACATCTATTTCCCAGCCTCCTATGTCTCACCTGGCTTCATGCTTTGCTTGGCCAGTTGAATGTTACTGTAGTAACATGTGGCCAGTGCCCAGCCTGTACTTGAAGAGACCTTGAATTCTTTCTTGGAACCATTCCCAGTTACCATGCAAATGAGAATCCTAGGCTAGCCTGCTTGTTAACAAAAAATACATACTGTTATAGATGTGGATCTAAGTCCAGAGAGAGTGTCTGCTAAGAGTTCTTATGTCTGGACTAGCTAACTGAACCAGGGACATATGGGTGATAGAAATAAAGACAGTCTGTTAGAGAACAAAAAGATACCCTCAAGAAGGAAAGAAAGCAAGACCCAGGCCAGTCCTGAGACCCACAAGCAGATAGCCCATACTTCTTTGGGAGATCTCATGGGTTCACACATGTTCTCTCTTGTTATATGCAGCCCCATGGCCAGAGGGGTTCCTAGACCTCCACCAACTGGCTACTTTAACATGACAATCTTGATGTTTCTCTCTCCCCCATTGTTGTCCTGTCACAAAATGGCCCAGACTCAACCACATCTCAGCCAATAGCCAGAAAGAACCCAAACTTAGAATCTACAAACTGTCTCTTAACAGGATACAGGTGCATGCCTGAGCCTAGGGCTACACCTCTAACCCATAGGTTTAGTAATTGAATTAATGACAGTATATGTAAATCTAAACCACTAAATTTCCACATAGCTCCATATGCAGCAATTCCCTGTGGAGAACTATTCCAAAGTCTGTCCTCGTGAAGCAAAATGATGCCAGAAAAACAAAGCATTTGGCTTCTAAGAGCAAACGCAAAGGTCAGTTCTAGACAGAGACTCTGCACCAGTCCCCTGTGCACACTGACTTCTGCATCAGGCTTTGGTCTTCCCACTTGGACGGCTGGAAATACCAGACCCCAAGTCTACAGAAGCCCTTCCTCCATCTGTGGAGGGAACGCCACATCTAAGCCACCAAGCTTAGGCTCCTTTCTGTTTCTTTAGCCTACTTCCACTGGTCAGCTCCGTTCCTGACACTCACCTGCCCCAATTGGGCTGGTGGTCTGACATTCCAGCAGGGTTCTCTGCCTCCTCCTCCTCCTGGTCCTGTTCACTTCCCTGTCTTCTGACCTCTGTCTGCACCCTGGTATTAGAACTGCTCACCAGGACCCCTAGCGGCCTCCTGAGCCCTACACTAAGTGGTCTCTTGTCTGTTCTCTTCTTAGTCAACATTATCCTCAAGGCTTGAACATGGTCATCGTGAAGGACTTGCACCATCAGAGTCCTTTCTAAAGAAAACAATGCGTCCTTTTCCAAGGAGATGACTGAGGAAACATGTAAAATGTGGGGTATTTTAGTTCTTTTTGTTTTGTTGTTTGGGTATTTTAGGGTTCGTTTCTGAGACTATCTTTTAAGACAGTCAGGCTAGCTTCAAACTCACCTCCTGCTTCAATCTCCTGAGTGCTGGGGGTACAGGCATATGACATCAAACTGGCTGATTTGCTGAGTTCTTAGCATGTTCCAAGTCAAGGTTTTTGGGGGGAGGGGAGGGTGGTGTGTTTTGAAACAGTGTCTTCCTATATGATGTAGCTTGCACTATCCTGGGACTCTGTAGCCCAGGCTGGCCTCAGACAGAGATTCACCTGCCTCTGCCTCCTAAGTACTGAAATTAAAGACATGTGCCAACATTAAGTCTAGTTTTAAAATGGCCTCATTTCATTTAAAAAGATAGGATGCAGTCTCAAAAGAACACTGTACAGGAAGTCAGGGGTTCAGAACTGAGGCCCAGTTACGAACTTCCCAGCTGTCTAATTGTGCAAGCTACTTAATATCTTTGAGCTACCCTGTATAGATGATATAGTATGAAACAGAAAAACAATCTGTCAGAATGTGACCACTCAGAAGGAGATTTGTCTATTCACTGGTACCTACAGGCCCTAGTACACTACCTACAACATAGTAGAACCTTCATTAATGTTCAAATGTTTGTTGAGTTAATTTTGAAAGGCCTGCAAGATCACAGACACAAAATCATAAACATTGTCAACATCTTACCACGTCCCTAAATTGCCAAATCCACCAGAATTCAAATCTCTCAGTGTGATTTTTTTTCTGTTCCCTTGAATTGGTTGTTCTTGATGAGCATGTGAACAATTTTTCCCCTGACGGAAGTGGACATCGATGGGACCAAAGTGTTGTAAACCTGGCAGAATCCATTTACCTGGGAGATGTGTCTTGGGGCAAGTTGGAGAGGATTATCTTCATCACATTAACTGGGGCAAGAAGAATGGCCACTGTAGGAAGGACCATTGTGTAGGCTGGGGATCCTGGCTTGCACAAAGTGAAGCAGGCAAGCTGGGTGAAGGCATGCATGCATTCATCCCTCTGTCTCCTGACTATGGCTGTGAGGGGACCAGCTGGTTCAGCTTCACCATCATCGTGGACTGTTACCTTGAACTGAGAGGCATAGTAAGTCCTTTTTCCACTAAGCTGCTTTTATCAGAGTATTTTTATCACAATAACCAGAAAAGAAGCTAAATTAATGAGCTTAGCATTGGGGTAGGCAGAGCATCAGAATCACACAAGTAAGTAGCTGTATCTACAAAGCCTGCATTCCTGGGTCCCATCCTCGCAAACTCCAATTCAGAATGGATCAGGTCAAAACCCAGCAGTCTTTTTGAAAAGTCAAATTCTTCAAGTGATCCCAATGCCTGTGCTCTTTGGTTATGATGAGAGATGAGATCTCAACCCAAACTTTCCTCCCTTAGCTCCATGAATGGCCACCCACCCTCCGAGAGTCTTAACATGTTTAACTATCTGGGCCCAGACCTTAAAATTTCAAATGCATGTAATTACACAGCTACACAGAGGACAATGGGTTTCTGGTCTCCAGAGGTGGCTGAATTCTGGCACCAAAATTCAGAACCCATGGAGCTGGTTAGTGAGGCTGGCTCAGCCCCCTGTGAAGCTATGAGTCAGAACATCTTTTTCCGTCTCAAAAGTGATTAATAAAGCAGAACAAAGTCTTTGAAACATTGTTTTCCCCCATAACAAAGAGACAAGCCTGTGTCTATCTAAGTTAGTGCCGTTGTTATAGAAACTACCTATTTTAAGTGAGCAGTAAAGCAATGCACACTCCCCTGAAATGAACAAGCTCAGGAGGGCCTGACTGTTTGAAACGTTCATGTTGGCTGGCTCACAAGTCATGCTGCTGTGTTTGTCTCTCACCATGGAGACTTTGAGGACTGGATCCTCAGACCCATCTCCTTCCATTCCCTCTAGCATAAGCCTTAGGATTCCAGGATAGCCCAAATCCTTTATTTCACATTCCCTGTTTAAGCTTCAGAAAAAGTGAAGTGGCCATCTTCTTTTCCTCTATTACATGAGTTTAACAATATGAAAGCTGTTGGCTCTTCTCATGATAGCATCACATCAGAAAAATAATCTTGGATCTTCTTAGATCATCGTGTGAAGGGAAAAGAAACCTTTGCCTCCGACCTCTGCAAGACTGCTCAGTGGGTGAACCAGGAGGTTATCCGGGAAGTTACTACCTAAGCCTTAGTCAAATGAGGCAAATTTTCCAGTGAAACCTGTTGCCTGAGCAGGTATGTTCTCCTTACTGCTCGCGTCCCTCCTCATCCTCCTTCCCCATTACCCTGTATTTCACATGAAAACTCCTCCTGGAGGCAGGAGGATCAGGAGTTCAAAAGCCATTATCAACTACATAGAAAATTGAAGGCTAGCCTGAGCTACATGAGACCCTGTCTCAAAAAAAAAAAAGAAAAAGAAAAGGAAAAGAGGGAGGGAGGGAGGAATGAGGAGGGAGGCAGACGGGGAAGGAAACAAGAAACAAGGAAGGAAAATATAACACAAAAGGCAACCTACCATCCCGTGTGACTGAAACTCCTTAATGGGAGTTGAGATTTGATAGTCAGGGATTCAGAAATGCTCCTTTCAAGAGGCCTTTCTTCCTCTCTGTTTCTTAGCTCTGCTGTTTAAGCATCAGCGAGATCCACACGGCTACAATGTCACAAACATCTACACTGTCTCCAGTTCCGAGCCAGGAGAAAGAACACTTGCTTCTCTTCCATCCTTAGTGACAGCCTAAAAATGTTTCATTGGTTTAATCACAGAAAACTCACCTCAGGGGCCAGAATTCTTGCAATGGGCTGAATGGCTTATGCAACCTTCCACACTGGAGTTCGAGAACAAGAATGATCAATTAAATCCCAACCATTGGTAACAACAGTGAAATAGAGAAACACCCAAATAAAGGCAAATAAAATCTGGCCTTGTAAGTGTGTTGCACATAACATGTTATAGATATAAGTAAACCGCCCTTAAAAAAAACTCATCCCTGCTAATGGGCTCATATGAATGTTGCTCCCATGAAACTGTAATAAAGAAGCAATTATGATAACCTATTGTGTAGTTAATCTTTGGGTCACTCAAAACATTTAGCATGTTCAATAGACACCATCTCCTTCTTATACTGACTCCCAAGAACCAATCTGAAGAAAAAGAACCTCGACTTCTGCTTTAGAAAGATGCTTTCTTCAAATCAGGACTGTGGCTTGTGATATTTTTCCCTTGCAGACATCAAGAATACCAGCTGATAAGCTCAACCCAGCCCCCCTCATTAGGCAGTGCAATGAGAAGATTCAAAGGCACACACAGTCTGGGGAGAAAAAAATCAGACAGAAAATTATCTAATTACTATGCTTCATAGCTAAGGAGAACCAATGGGAGAGAATTGAAGCAAGGGATTCTTACATCAGCACCCAGGACTCTCTGCTTGCGTTACCCACCAACCCTGGTCTCCAGAGAAGAGAAGCTTTTCTTACTGTGAAACTGAAGGACAGAGGTTCCAGGACGCCCTTGT